TTCTCAAATGGGTGGAAATAGCTCTGGTTTTGCCTGGTTGACACAGTGCAGGTCTGAGTGATATTTAGAGGGAGTGATTTTCTTCTAGGAGTAAGATCCTCCACATCACAGAGGTAGAAGTGAAAGCTTAGTGTCCCCAGGAATTACAGCCCTGGCTGGCAGATGGCTGAGGACTCCAGGCGGGTTCATTTCTGCTCCCTCCCTGTGTCCCCATGTCCCTCCTGTGTGGCCCGTTTTCCTGGCTCAGAGATGGAGGAGGACGTGGGATCTGCACTTGTCCATGGATCCGGGATGCCCCAGGTGGTTGAGATGGAGTTGTCCATGACAGTGGCATCCGTACATTCCATGTCATCCTGTTTGTGGAGCCCCTGTCCCAGGTCCTCGTGTTCCCTCCCTTACAAGTCCCAGGACCCAAGTGCGTGGACGCCCACATTTCGGGGCAGGAGACACTGACCCTGGTGAAGGGAGGTGGCTTGTCCCAGGCACACAGCTAGTGACCAGATATCAGAAACCACCAGGATTTCTCCAGTGCCACAGGGATGGGGTGGCTCTCCCAGGAGACCGTTGCCCGAAGCCACCAGGGCAGATCCGAGAGGCCCCTGGGGCTCCTCCCAGCCCTGTGTCGGGACAGACTTAGCCACAAACAGTCCCTCGCTTGAGCCAAAGACGGGAGAAAAAGCCCAACTGCTCGTGTGTGTTTTGTGTTCCAGTGAAAGAACTAAATTTTCATTATCATCATCTAGAAAATGCTCCCGCAGGCCACAATAAATCATCTTTGAGAGCCAAGGACAGGATGCAATTTGCTTCCATGTGGAGTGCACATAGTAATTAGCTCAGAGGGGGAAGAAAAGCCAGCTTCTATTTCTTGAGAGACTACAAGGACCACTCGGCTGGGAAATGAGTGCTTCTTCCTTCCGGGCTCTTCTCCGAGGGAGACCGGGCTGGCTGGGGCCCAGGGAGAGGCTGCCAGGGAGTCAGCCCTGAGCTGTGCACATCCAGGGGCAAGAGCCTCTCCCCGCCTCTTTTTGACCCTCCGTGCAGCCCAGCCCAGCCTGCTCCTCCTCTGAGCCAAGCCTGACTCTGAAGTCACCGCTTTGCCCTTACAGGGAGGGGAGAGGAAAGGACCAATGTTTGGCAAATGACCAATCTTTGGCCATCCTATGCCAGACACCTTGCCAGGCACTTCACAGTTGGCTGCTTCATTGTATCCAAAGAGCTGGGTGTCAGATAAGGAAATGGATGCTCAGAGAGGTTGAGTAACTAGTCTAAATTTGCACAGTGAAGAAGTGGTAGAGCCAAGATAGAAACTTTTGGATTTTTTTTTTGTACCCGGGATTGAACTCAGGTCCTTTCGCTTTCAAGGCAGGTGGCGGAACCACTGAGCTAAATCCCCAGCCCCTTTTGGATTTTTTTTTTCCTGACTCCCCACACTCTGCTTACTACAATTTCCATACCCTTACATGTCGTTTTCTCAAACCCTCTGCAAGTGGAGTCCCAGTCCTGGGGTGAGGTTCCTGAAGGAGGCGCCTCTGAGCTGTGCTGAGAGGTCGTCTAGCCAGCGATGCCCTGGGCTCCTGCTCTAAGGGAGCCCTGGGCCAGCCTGGGGTGGGCAGGGGCTGTGCAGGGACCAGAAGTCGGATGGCCTGGGCACTTACAGACTCTAACTGGAGAGAGAAAACAGACAGACCTACGGCTTCAATCCATCAGGCATCACGCAGCTCTGGGACGCCCTAGAAGGTGGCAGTCGCCACGTGAGAGCTGTGGTCATTCTGGGTCGCGTAACCCACCTAGGGGGTGGGGTTCATGGAGGAGGAAGGTGCCCATTTAGGGTGGGTAGAACCAGGATGCACTCTCTGATCCCAGCACCTGTCTTAGTCACCACAGGGGCTCTCTGATAAAGCTCACAAAAGCTATGGTCTTGGGCTGGACCGCTGAGTTCCATCCCTTGTTCCGTTGCGGCCCTGGCCAGGGATCATTCAAAATCCTGAAGTCCTCCAGGGATGGAAAGCTTACTACTTCCTTTTCCATCTCAGGTGGCTCTAACTGTTAGGAAAGGCCTCCCTTGGGGGAACTCAGTGGGGGCCCGAGCTTGTGCTCATCGGTCCTGAAAGATGTTCCTGGAGGTGCAGGCAGCGCCCCCACTTGCAGCCTGGGAGTAGTCTCCTCTGACAGCACAGGGAGGAACCTTTTGCTGCCCCCAACCTGACCTCAGAGGAGCTCAGGCAGAAAGCAGGTCCCTTGTGTGTGGGGCCTCACCTCCCTCCCAGGCCTCTGCCCCATGTCCTCCACCCTCCAGGACAAACTGTTGGGACTGGCCAGTTGTTCTGTCTGTCGCAGCCCAATCAGGGGCCTGTTCACACATTCCCTCCCCTTGTCTTTCTCACCCTTATCAAAGACAAGAGGTCAGCCTGGTGTGGTGGTGCACACCTGTAATCCCAGCAATTGGGAGGCTGAGACCAGAAGATCATCTTGAGTTTGAGGCCAGCCTGGGCTCCACAGTGAGTTCAAGGCCAGCCTGAACTGCACATTGAGACGCTGTCTCAAAAAACAAAAAATAGACAAGAGCAGAAGATACGAGTGTTCTGGATCACAAGAGAGAGGCTGTGACCCCCAATGTAACACACGAGCCTTGCGTTGAATTCTGGTTCAGACACTGAAATAGCTGTGAAAGACACTTTGGGGACATTGGAACGTGCCTGGGTGGCAGATGGTCTGGAGGAATCGTCGTCACCTTTCTTAGACACAATCATGGCGATGCACTAATGTGGGAGACTGCACTCCTTTGTAGGAAATGGATGTGGTGTGGTAAGAAGGCAGGAGTCATGATTTTTGCAATTTCCTTTGCAATAGCTCCACAGAGGAAGGAAGTAAGAGAGGGGTCTGGGGGCAGGAGCAGCGGGTGGATGCCAGACAGGCCAAGGGCCCGGGGTCCCCGGCCTCCCTCCCCAGCCTTCCAGGCCCCAGCAGAGGAAATACCATCCTGAGCAGCCCCAGCTTGCTGGGAAGCCCAGCTTGTGAGCCCTTGGGAAGAACCTCCCCGTCCTCTCAGAAGCCACCTGCTCCCTCTAGACCTGCCTGGGCCCATCCCAGAGTACGCAGGGGGACGGCATGGCTGTGAGTGGAGTGTCCAGCCCAGGGGTGGCCGCTGAGCTGTGGGGACGTCAGTGAGATGGGTGAAGTATGGCAGGGTGGCCGCCAGGGGCCTTTGCCACAGGCACCTCTGCTGCAGCTGCACTCTGGGGACTGGGAGCTGGAGGTGGTGGGAGGGGCAGGAAAGGGAGAGGAAGGCGCAATGGGTGGAGGTAAAAGGGGCAGAGTCAGGGAGGACAGATGCGGGCCAGGGCATCTGGGGTAAATGCAGCTGTTATGCAGGGGCTCAGGAGAGCCTCAGGCCAGCTTCCCCTGCTGGGCCTGGTGGGCAGCTGGGCGTCAACTCCTCTCCATAGGTGCTGGTTGAGGAGGCACAGAGACACGAAGTGGCTTGCCTGGGTCACACAGCTCCCTTGGCCTCCATGGTCCAGAAAGAGCACAGAGCTCAGTGCTTCTCACAAGACCCTGCTGTCACAGAGTGGAGTCCCACCTGGGAAGGGAGACCTGGGGCAGGCTCTGGGATAGGGGCCCAGTGAGGCACTGGCAGTATGGGATTCTGTAGAGGCTGCCAGGGCCCTGAAGGCCAAGGCCACCTGGCCTCTGGCCAGAGGGGAAGGGAAACCACTCCAGGCCAGCAGGCACCACCAGGAAGCAAGGGTTGGAAGGAGCAACCCCTCTCGTGTGGCAACTGTGGATTCTAGAATGTTCCACTTGGACCAGACAGAGGTATCCCAGAACTCCTCCTCTGACTGAACTCTTGCCAGGTCCCCAAGCCACTCATAGTATCTTTAGCTTTAGGTTTTCTTTCTATTTATTTTTGTTTTGTTTTTAGAGACAAGGTCTTGCTATGTAGTTCAGGCTGGGCTTGAACTCACTATGTAGCCCTGGCTGGCCTCAAACTCACATCAACCTCCCTACATCAGCCTCTGGAGTGCTGGGATTATAGCTGTGTGCCACCACGCTTGGCATATTTTTCTTTGAATTGAATCACTTTTTAAAAAATTAGTCTCATTAACTGGTAGTTTCTGTGAAATCATGGATTTTGCATGCACATTGTATTTTTCTAGTGCAAATTAAAATAAACACATGATTACTAAGATTAAAAACATCATCTGTGGCACATAAAGGGGCCCTGAGTGACCACCTGGGATTCGGGGAGCTGGTGAGGAACTGGATGCCCGAGTGGGCAGGGCTGGTCTCAAGTCACCGGGTCTGCAATGGTGCTCCAGGCTCTGTCCAGGGCTCAGCATGACTTCATCCAGATGTTGTGGGCAGAAGTCACAGAGGAAGCCATGGGAAAGTCAGGTAGCCTCTGTACAGATGACGATGGTGCCGGTGGAAGTACCAATGACAGCAATGACAGTGATGTAGGACTGAGATTCTGGGGGCAGCTGAAGCTCTAGAAGAATCAGAGGCAGAGATGATAATGGGTGGATAGCCTGTTCCCTTGCTCACAGAGGGGCACCCTGGACCCGGCCCCTGACATTAGTGTTCTCCATTTTGTGACCCCTGCGCATGCGCAAGTGCACGTGCACACGCGCGCACACACCTGCACCTCTCATACTGAGCACACGTCGTCCCTGACTGGTTGGTTTGTCTGTCACATGGCTCATTCCTTGGAAGTGAAAGGACCCAGTGATCTTTCCGGAAAGGCAGGTTGGGTGTGGCCACCAAAGCAGGAAATGTGTGAATGCCCTTGTGCCAGTCTCTGTCCTGTCAGATTTTATTAGAGTCAGTCCTGCAGCACGGGCTGGGCACACAGTGGGCCTGAGTTCCTGCAGGCCCTGTCCTGTCCTCTCTGCCCACTCCCTGGCTTCCTCACCTGTGTCCTGAAGGAGCAGCCCCGGCCCCAGTGCCCAGGCTCTTCGGGCAGTCGTCACCCACCTGACCCTGTCTCTCTGGGCCCTCAGATGTCCTGGCGTCCGCAGTATCGCAGCTCCAAGTTCCGGAACGTCTATGGCAAGGTGGCCAACCGGGAGCACTGCTTTGACGGGATCCCCATCACCAAGAATGTGCACGACAACCACTTCTGTGCCGTCAACGCCCGCTTCCTGGCCATCGTCACGGAGAGCGCAGGAGGCGGCTCCTTCCTTGTCATCCCCTTGGAGCAGGTAGGTGGCCCTGGGGCTTTGTGAGTGTCCACGGAGCAAGTGGGGCCCCCCATATCCAAGAGACTTGAGGTCTCTTTCCCGAGCGTCCCTGGAGGGGGGGCCCCTTGGACAAATCACTGTCGTCTCCAGGGGGAGTTGGAAAGTGCCTGTCTCCAAGATCAAGTCCAGCTCTACAATCCCGCATCCTAGAGGTCCTTTCAGTTTGGAGCTGGAAGGATGAAGACCCAGCCATGGGTACACCAGGCACCTGCCAAAGTGGCAGAATTGAGACCATGTGGCTGCCCCCCACTCCGAGGCTGGTAGTCACGACCTTCTCCCTCACCCCCCACCACCTCGCTGAAGGTTTTCTACCCTCAGAGCTGCTTGTGTGAATCCAGCAGATTAAATCTGCATAGCATAGATCATGAAATTTTTAAGCGGAGCCCCCATGGGAGGTCACATGCTCCGGCAAAGGGCTCGAGGTCGGTCCCACTTGTTTATAGCTGAGTTCTCCCTCTGCCTGACTCATCCCAAGCCTGCCCTCCGCCCGGCCACTGAGAGGAGGGGTGTGGGTGGAAGGGAACCTGGGCCCTGAGATGCACTGTCAGGGCCCGTGCAGGGGCATTTTCCAGCCTGTCCTCCCCACAGTGGGGAGGGCTTAGGCCAGATGCCCCTCCCCACCAGAGGGACAGCAGCATGACCCTGAGGACAGTCTGACATGCAGAGAGTTCTGACTTGCAGGCGGGATGTTTGGATTGTGCCACTCTCCACCCTTGGAACCCTGGGCTTGTCATTCCATCTCTCTGGCCCTTATTTTCCTGTAATTGCAAATGAGATCATAAAGGTTCCTCTGCCTGCATCGGCCACAGTGGCCCCAAGTGGGAAGGGACATAAAAGCCACTCAAGGGCCACACAAATTGGAAGGTGTCTGGTCACTTTCTTGGGGAAGTTGTCAGCTGCGCTGTGAACTTTTGACATGTAGCTCGCCTCCCCTCCTGAGCCATATGGGCCTAGGTCTCTGCCTGCTCAGAATGGCTGTTCTGTGGGTCTGCCAGGCTTCCAGGAACCCCAGAAGTGGTGGGCTGGGTCTTATTGGGGCACAAGCCCATGGCCAGTGCCCCAACATACTGCACTTTATGGCTCCCAAGCATACAGCCAATGCCTCTCCTCAGAACAAAAACTAATCCAAGATGGACTAAAGATGTACAAAAAAGAAAACCTGCTAGTGTATTAGAGGAAAATGGAGAGCACTGAAAAAATCACCAGTGTGGAAAGGCTTGTGAAATAGCACAAGAATTCCCCATCAAGGAAATGATTAAAAGATTAGAATAAAGTTTTCCAATTATTAAGTTTCCATAATAGAATGAGACCCCTAAACAAAATTAAAAGGTGAGCAGCATACTTGAGCACAATATTTGCAGTATATGACAGATGTAAGATTTGTGTCCAGAATGTATAGAGTTCCAGAAGAGTCAATAAGAACCCCCCAAAAATGGGTAAAAGATATGCACGAGCAATTCACAGCAAACAAAATATATTGCTTAACCTCACTAATCAGAAAAAATTTAAGAGTAATAATCTTCAGTATCGCTAAGAGAGAGAACTGGGTGGGGGGAACAGAGCTCAAGTATAATCTTGGTGACATGTAAATGAGGCGACTTGGTGACATCAGTTAACAGTTACAGATGCACATTTGGGGACTAGGACTCCATCCAGCTCAGTGGGAGAGCACTTGCCTAGCCTGTGGGAGGCCCACTAAGATGGATGTCCAGTGACTGGCAGTTCCACTTCCAAAGTCTGTCCTCCAGAGCTATTCTCAAGTCTATGTATAAAACTGCAGTATTTTGTTGGGTGTGGTAGTGTAATCCCAGCACTAGGGAGGCTGAGGCAGATTGTGGGTTTGGGGCCAGCCTGAGCTACATGGCAAGGCCCTGTCTCAAAGGAAAAAACGTGCAGCCTTTTTTAGTATTTGACTTTTTAAAAGCAAACCTCAATTTTTAAAATTATTTTAAACGGAAATCAAATTCCTAAAGTCTCCAACCCTCCCAATTTCTATAAGGGTAAGCAAAGAGTGTTGTATTTTCAGTAACCCTGGTGTAGACTATGACAGGGTTTTGTAAGCACTTCACAGATGGCAGAAAAGAAAGCACTCCTTATAGAGGATCAGTCACTCTTAAGTATGTGACTTTCCCGGTACACATATATACAAGTCTATTTCCTGCTTGCTTTCAACTTTATTAGTTCACATTCCTTGACACAATTTGTATAATGTGATTCATCTTGAAAATGATGGCTTCCACTACTAGTTCGTCTTTGATTTCTCTCATAGGAAGAAGTTTTCAGTTTATACAAGAACTCAGTGAGTTGTGCAGCTGTTTTATAGAAGTGAAAAGTTGGAAGCCACCCACAGGTCCACCAATAGAGGGACCAGCGGACAAGTTAGGGGACATCCTGCAAAGGAGTACCATGCAGTCATTAGAACTAGTCCTGCAGAGCAGGCACCCCAAAACCACCAGTCTCAGCCTCACTTTACCCTCTTCAGTCTATTAAATATCTAAGAGCTTTTGTTTCTGGGGGCCAGAGCTATCAGCATTTAGCATGTTCAACATAAAGAATCTGAAAAATATGCATTTATTAATTCACTTGAAATAATAAATCCATTTCATGTTCTCCCAGCAAATGTATATTTTTGAAAAATAACTATGGTTTCCAAGACAAAAAAAATTGAGAAGAATGGCATTATTTTATACTTTTTTGTTGTTGTTTTTGGTACTGGGGATTGAACTGAAAGTCTTGGGACTGAGCTATATCCACACTCCTTTCCCTTTTTTATGTTGAGACAGGATCTTGCAAAGTCTTTAATTTGCCCAGGCTGGGCTTGAACTCATAATCCTCCTGCCTCAGCCTCCCAGACTGCTGGGAGTATAGGGATGCATTGCCATGCCTGCCTACTTTATGCTTTTGTGAATCTCTTTACTATTAGTCTGGCTTGGCAGAAGGTGGCTGACTCTCATGCCTGCTTCTGCATTCAGCCTTTTGCGATATCACACATCCGGCCGCCTCTGGAAGCCTCCCTGGTTCGCTGGTGAGAGGACTAAGAAGTAAATGATGTCTGAGTGTCATTATGAAGATAGTTTTGATTCAGTAGATTCCCTGAACAGCTCTGGAGGTCCTCAAGGGGTCCCCAACCACACTCCAAGAACTAGTGATGTAGAGGAATGTTTAATGAGAAAAAGTATCATGATATATGCTAAGTGGGTAAAGAGGACAATATACGATTAATCACATTAAAATACCTATCTGTCCACCTGTCTATCTGGGGAAGACTGAAAGAATATACACCAAATATTCAAGGTAGTTATCTCCACTTTGGGAATCAGGAGTGTTCTTTGTTTTCTTCTTTCTCCCTAGCTATATTTTCAAAATATTTTTTTTTACAATGAACTTTTAACATTCTGTAGTGGAGAAAAAACTGGTGGAAGCAATTTGTTGATGGGAGGAAGGAGCCCCCGAGGTGTTCAAGGCCCCCAGCTCAGGGAGGGCTGCTTGGCCTGCACCTGGATACAGCTTTACCCGCAGCCCTGCCTCCCACTCTGATGCAGCCCCTTACCTACCTCCAGCATCAACACTCAGCCCTTATGAATGTTGCAGATATTTTCTCCCAGAGTTCACGTTACTCCTAGCTTGCTATGGAAAACTGAAGCAAAACTGTAAAACCGTGGATGTGGCGGGGTGGGTCCTCCCTGGCTGGGAGGGAGGTGGGGCAGCTCCTTGACCGGCGAGCATCATTCAACTTGCACAGGACCTGGTGTCTGGAACTTGTGGCTCAGGGTCCCACCCCCAACAAATGGGCTCCTTAGCAATGAAGGCGGCTGTCCTGCTGCCCACTGTGGCCAGGGCCGGGCCTGCAGGCCTGGGGCTCAGCCTGGCTGGAGGTGGGGGGAGGAGACAAGGCTGGGACCAGTACCAAGCAGGCCAAATCCGGGCCCCTTGTTTATTGGGAGCAGGAGAGAAGAGCTATTTCCCATCAGCCAATTTTTTGTTTTTGTGTTTGGAGACAGCATCTCACTGTAGTCCAGGCCGGTCTTGAGAACTCACTATGGAACCCAGGCTGTCCTTGAACTCGAGGTGATTGATCCTCCTGCCTCACCCTCCTGAGAGCTGGGATCACAGGTGCACGCCACTACTTCGGGCAACATCAGCCAATTTCCTAGCCCAGAGAAGGTTACATTATTTGCAGTTTCAAGGGTTTTTCCCCTGCTGCGTAGCAGTCTCCCCCAAACAACTCTGTATTGTGGCCTTTTCTTGGTGACTGCAGACCGTGGCTGTGAGCCTTGTGAGCCGTGGCCACAGTGGTGCAGCCTTGTCCCCCGCCACACATCACTGTCCTGAGAAAACGGTCTGTGTTGGTCATTCATTAAAATGTCACCGCTATTTTCAGGGGTTGCTTCTCCTTCCTTTCTTAGAGGTTTGGGCCGGAAGAGGCTAGAACTTGCCAGGATCCCCAAATCCCTGCTTGGTGGCCCCATCTTCCCACTGAGCCTCAGACTCTTCCTGGGAGCTTTTCTCCCTTTGTTCACATTCCCTCAAAGCCAGCTTGCTGAAAATTTCATTATTTGTGACTAAAAACTTTTCTCCAGCCAGGCATGGTGGTGCACACCTGTAATCCCAGCACTTTGGGAGGCTGAGGCAGGAGGATCCCAAGTTCATGCTCAGCCTGAGCAACTTAGTGAGTTAGCCATACTGTCTCAGATAAAAAAAGGTTGAGGTTGTAGCTCAGGGCAAAGGTCCTAGGTTCAATCCCCAGTAGCGCAAAACCAAAATAAAACAACCTTTTCTCCAGGTTGGGATGCCCTGTCCACTACAAACAGCTCTAACAACACATTGCCTCTGTATAGCAATAAACTGTCTTAATTGATCCTCTCCACAGGGAGGCAGAATCATCCCCCTCACACTTGGAGAAACTCAGACTGCAGGGACAGGCAGGAGCTGGATGCATGCAGACAGGTCCTTCCTTCCGA